TTGTGCACAAATTAATGGTCTGTCCAGCAGCTGCATGGTGTCCCTGCATCCCTTGTTCCTGCATCCCTGTGCTCCTTTGACCCTACATCCTTGTGTCACCTTGTCCATATCCCCATGTCCCCATGTTCCTGCATCCCTGTGCCACTGCATCCCTTTGTCCCTGCGTTCCTGCAGTCCCTGTGCCCATTCCCCCAGCTCCAGGCAGCTTCCCCTGCATGGCTCCAGCCCTGCGCCGCCTCCAGTCTGGTGCCTCACAGCCCCAGCACCAGGCACTTGAGCCAATTGAAGGCTGAATTTCACTGATAGGAGAGTGGACCATAATTGCCTCTACTGAGCAAATCCCAGCTTATTAGAAGTGCTTTCTGGAGGTTCTGCAGAACTGTTTGAGGAGCTGATGGCCGTGCAGTCTCTTCCCCGCCACGCTGGGTCCCAAACGCTGGCGCCAGGCTGCTGTGACCCTGTGCCCTGCAGGTGGACCGCAGCGAGGTCATCAAGAGCAACCTGAACCCCGTCTTTGCCAAGATCTTCACGGTGGATTACTACTTTGAGGAGGTGCAGAAGCTGCGCTTTGAGGTGTACGACAGCCACGGGCAGGCCGGCGTGGGCACACACGATGATGATTTCCTGGGGGGCATGGAGTGCACCGTGGGGCAGGTGAGCCCCCGCCGTGCTGGCCCCCATCACCTGCAGGCTGTGCCCGCGCTGAGCCCGTCCTGTTTGGCAGATTGTGGCACAGAAACGGGTGACGAAGCCGCTGTTCCTCAAATATGGGAAGTTTGCGGGGAAATCCACCATCACGGTGAGTGATGCTGGGCTGGGTTGCGTGGTGACACCAAAATGGGACGTGGGATGGGGAGGGAAGGATGGCAGGGGAATAACACCGAGCTCCTCGTGGTTGGGTGTCCTGGCAGGTCATCTCTGAGGAGATCTCGGGGAACAACGGCTACGTGGAGCTGGCCTTTAGGGCCAAGAAGCTGGATGACAAGGTGAGCAGCCTGTGAGCAGAGCGGAGAGGATGGGATGGGCTGGATGAGATGGGATGGATGAGACAGGACTGGTTGGATGGGTTGAGATGGAACGAATGGGATGCGTTGGATAAATGGATGGGATGGATAAAGTCCTCCCCTCCGCCTGGCCCCATCCTCTCTTTTTCAGGACCTTTTCAGCAAGTCTGACCCCTTCCTGGAGATCTACCGCATCGACGATGACAGCAGTGAGCAGCTGGTGTACCGCACTGAGGTGAGGCTGGCTGGCTCCATCCCGTGGCCGCCCTATAGGTGCCTGGCCTTGATGAGCCCTCCTGCCCCCAGGTGGTGAAGAACAACCTGAGCCCCATCTGGGAGCCCTTCAAGGTCTCTCTGAACTCCCTCTGTAGCTGTGAGGAGAAGAGGAAGCTGAGGGTGAGGAAGGGTGATGGGACCCCGTCCCCGGGTGGGTGTGGGGGTGATGGGGGCACACAGCTGGGCAGCGCTGACCTGCGTCCCTGCAGTGCGTCGTGTGGGATTACGACTCACGGGGAAAGCACGACTTCATTGGCGAGTTCTTCACCACCTTCGAGGAGATGCAGAAGGCAATGGGGGAGAACAAGGTGGGGACATGGGGATGTGGCCAGCAGGGCTGGGGCGCACAGCCTGCCGTCAGGCCCTGTTCCAGGAGGCTCCTCCCTGATTCTCCACTGGTTTCTCTTTGGGGAAGGGATATATGGGACTGCAGCCATCTGCCTGTGTGGGGGTACGGGGCTGGGGGCTGGGGGGCCGCAGCACAGTGGGGCTGGGGGCTGTGGGGCCAAACCCGGGCAGCGCGGGTGCCACATGCTGCAGGTGCAGTGGGAGTGCATGAACCCCAAGTACAAAATCAAGAAGCGCAACTACAAGAACTCGGGGGTCGTGGTGCTGCTGGACCTGAAGGTGAGTGCTCACAAGTCGTGCTGAGCCGTGCTGTGCCAAGCTGCTGCTGGGACATCAGTGGCTGACGTGGGTCGGACTGACAGATCCACAGGGTCTACTCCTTCCTGGACTACATCATGGGCGGCTGCCAGATCCACTTCACGGTGAGCGCAGCTCCATCAGGGCTGAGGCCGCATCACGGTGCTGGGGCAGCTGCTCAGGGCTGCCCCAGGGGCACCGGGGATCTCACCGACACCCCTCACACCAGGTGGCCATCGACTTCACGGCCTCCAACGGGGATCCCCGCAACAGCTGCTCCCTGCACTACATCAACCCCTACCAGCCCAACGAGTACCTCAAGGCGCTTGTGGCAGTGGGCGAGATCTGCCAGGACTATGACAGGTTGGGGGCTCCCCAGGGCTGAGACGCTGCAGTGATGGTCACCGTGGGGCCAGGACACTCAGGTGGCACCTCTCAGTGCTGGCTGGGGCTCTACACATCCCTTCCCTTGCAGTGATAAGAAGTTCTCCGCTCTGGGCTTTGGTGCGAGGATCCCCCCCAAGTACGAGGTATGGGGCTGGGGCCCCTGGGATGCACTGGGACCCCTGGGATGTACCCATCCTGCTGCCCCCAGCTGCCTTTGCCCCTCTGCCCTCTAAGGTCTCCCATGACTTCGCCATCAACTTTAATCCTGACAACGACGAGTGTGAGGGTGAGTGGAGCTCCATTGCGCTGGTGCCCAGCGCCATCCCCACACCCCCCAGCCATGCTGGCACCCCCTCACCCCGCACCCCCACAGGCATTCAAGGTGTGGTGGAGTCCTACCAGAGCTGCCTGCCCAAAATCCAGCTGTACGGCCCCACCAACGTGGCCCCCATCATCACCAAGGTGGCCCGTGTGGCAGCTGACGAGGAGCGCACCAAGGAGGCATCGGTACGGCCTCGTGTGCGCATTCCCCCCACGTGCACGGGGTGCACGGCACAGGGGGTGTCCCTGATGTCCCTTTGTCCCCAGCAATACTTCATCCTGCTGATCCTGACGGATGGCGTGGTGACGGACATGGCGGACACGAGGGAGGCCATCGTCCGCGCCTCCTACCTGCCCATGTCCATCATCATCGTGGGGGTGGGCAACGCCGACTTCACCGACATGCAGATCCTGGACGGTGACGACGGCGTCCTGCGCTCCCCCCGGGGTGAGCCCGTGCTGCGTGACATCGTCCAGTTCGTCCCCTTCCGTGACTTCAAGAACGTGAGTGGGTCCTCCAGCCCTCCTGTCCCCTACCCTGTGCCCCCCTGCGTTGGGTGCCACCGACCCCCAGCTCACCCATCCCACCCCGTCCCGCAGGCGTCCCCGACGGCGCTGGCCAAGTGCGTGCTGGCCGAGGTGCCCAAACAGGTGGTGGAGTACTACAGCTACAAGGCCTTCCCCCCGCGCTGCCCCCAGCCCCACACCCCCGACTCCAGCCTGGGCTCGCCCCAGTGAGTGTGCCTGTACGGGGATGGGGATGGCCCCAGTGTTGCTGCGGGATGCTGTGCCACGTTATTTGGAGGTGGCTGAGTCCCCAACTCCCCGTGTCCCCACTCCATCCCCTGCTGTCCCCGTGGTCCCTGTGCTCCGTGCTTGTCTGTCTCCTTGTTGTTTTGAGGCTGCATGACAAACCCATCCTTGGGCCAATAAAGCAAGCTGCCCTTTCCCTCTGCTATCTGCTCTCTGGGCACGGGGACCCATGGAGTGCTACTGCGTCACACAGAATCCCCAACCATGGGCACTCTGTGGGGTGTGGGGATGGGGGGATGCAGCCCACAGCTCCACTCTGGTGCCCTACCCGTGGGCACAGCCCCATTCTGCAGCAGGAAGGCAGCAATGGAAGGGAACAAAGGCTGAAAGCGGCTCCCAGCTGCCCGGCACCTGGCCACGTCTCTCATTAGCAGGGATTTGTCACTTGAAAGCCACCAGCCACTGAATGAGAGGCAGCAGCGCTTTGTAGCTGCTGTACTTTTTTGCTTTCAAGTTGTGCTGCTGCTGCCCCACCGTGCAGCCTCGGCAGCACAGAAATCCAGGGCATGGAGGCAGGGAGAGATGCCCTCCTGCACGATGCCTGTGCCATGTGCCACGTGCCATGTGCCGTGCTGGACCTTCTTGGTGCTGTGCCGTGTGCCATGCTGTGTGCCTTGTGCATGCCAAGGTGCCACGTGCTGCGTGCCATGCCATGTGCTGTGTGCTGGGCCTTGTGCCATGCCACGGGCTGCCTGCTGAGTGCTGCTGTGTGCCGTGTGCTGTGCTGATGTGCTATTTGCCCTGCGCTACTTGCCATCAGCAGCGTGCTGCATGCCGTGTGCTATTTGCCATGCACTGTGTGCCATGTGCTTTACATCACGTGCTTTGTGCCGTGTGTGATGTGCCGTGTGCTGTGTGCCACATGCCATGTGCTGCATGCCCTGTTCCATGCACAGTGCCACTGCTGTGTGCCCCAAGCCCTGCTCTATGTGTCCCCACTGGGGATGTGCTCTCCCCTGGCAGGGTGCTGGCACAGGGTTTGTCCTTGCAGCCATGCCTGCGTGCTGTGGCCGTGTCCCTGTCCCAGAGCTGCACTGTTAGGTGTGGGGATGCTACCGGCCATGGGCAGAGCACGGTGTCCAATCCATCATATTTATAGCGCCTGATTCATCCCAATTAAGCCAGATAACAGATGTTGCCATAGAAACCCACTGGGGCTGCGGCTGTGTTCGGCCATTGGTGCAGGCAGGGGGGCTGAGACCCCTCCCCAGGGCTGTGTGTCCCCCTGTGTGTGTGTGTGTGGGGTGTGCGCTGCCACTAGTCGATGTTTAGTTGATGGGGTTAATTATCTCTCAGTGATCTCTTTGTAAGGCCGCTGCTGGCAGTGCAGCCAGGAATGGGGCAGGCGGTGCCACAGGGCACCAGGGCAGTGCAGGAGACACGGGAATGTGCTGGGATGGGGTTCCGCAGTCGTGCTGTAGGATGTCCCGGCCATCCTCCCACAGCCACACCCGGACAGTGCCCTGGGATGATGGGCCCCCACCCTGATAACGCCGGCACTTCCCGGCGCCAGAGCACAGCCTCCGCCCTGGGAACACAGTGCCGGCCTGGGAATGACAATAAATATTTATTCTTTCCCAAGCGGGGCCACGTTCCCCACCGCGCTGCAGGAAGTGAGGGGTCGGGGGTCACAGCCACCGGGGGACGGCAGCCTTGGGGACGGCGGCGGCGCTCAGCCGGGAGCCGCCCCACCACGGAGCACGGAGCCGCTGCTCCCCATCCCAGGGACACTCTGTGTGCTGTGCAGGCTGCCCGTCCCTCACACCATGGCCCAGTGGGCGCTCAGCTCGCTGTCGTGCATCTCCTCGTGGTACACGCGGTCAAAGAGGGCGTTTTGCGGCGGTGAGAAGTGGGAGCGCCAGTCGCCCACCACGCCTGCAGGAGGGCAGCGCTGGCACCGCGCTCGAGGGGCACCGCTGTGCCCACGGCCCTGCCCCGTGCCCCCCTCACCTTTGCGCATGAAGCGGCCCTGGCTGTGGTCCATGATCTCGCGGGGGATCAGGGTGTAGTTGGCCATGGCGTTGTCCCGCATGGCTGCGAAGCTGCAGTGCTGCTCCAGCGCCAACAGCGTCTGCGGCTCCAGCGTAATGCCCAGGAATGCGCTGAGGCGCTGCGCTGTGCCACGCAGGTCCTGGGCACGGCAGGTGAGATGGAGGGATGGGAGACAGGGATGGGGGACGTGGGGATGGGGGATACGGGGATGCAGAGCTCACCTCGTGCAGCTCCTCATAGGTGATGTAGATGATGTCGAGGAGCTGCCGCTGAGCCAGCCAGCCCTTGACATGCTCAAACCATGAGCCGTAGTGCACTGAAGGGATGAAGCAGGTGACGGGGGCCAACAGCTGCCCCCAGCGTGGCCCCCACATCTCCCCAGCCCTTACCTTTACCCTCTAGGAACTGCTGGAGGAAGGCGTCAAAGGAAACGGGGTCGGGCAGGAACTTGGCCAGGCGGTGGAAGTGGTAATAAGAGACCACCACATCCTTGGGGTTCCTGGCCACGTAGATCACCTGGTGGGGAGGGAACGCGGGCTCAGGTTTTCCCAGGCTCAGCTGCCCCGTGAGCTGACTTACCCACAGCCATTGGGTTGCACCCACAGACCCTCGTCTGGGGGACCCCTCACCTTGGCCTTGCTGCCCTGCAGCCGAGGGCCCAGCACGCGGGCAGGCAGGTGGCTGGTGATGAGGCGGTGCGTGGCTGTGTCCTGCAGCGAGCTGCGGAAGTGGATCTGCTCCAGCCAGGGCGCCCGCTCCCAGTTGGGGATGGTCTTGGCTGGCTGCGCGTCCCCACCGCTGTACAGCAGTGTCAGGATCTCCTGCATCCACGTGGTGCCTGGGGAGGTTGCCGTCAGGGCACCCCCACCCTGCACGGGGCACCGCAGCACGGCACGGCACGGCTTGGTGCAACATGGCGTGACACTGCATGGTACGGAACAACATGGCACAGAGTGGCACGGCATGGCATTGCTTGAGACAGCACAGCATGGCATAGCAAGATATGGCATGGCATCACAAGGTATGGCACAGCACGGTGTGGCATGGCACAGCTTGGTATGGCACAGCATGGTATGGCGTATCGTGGTATGAAACAGATTGGGATGGCATGGTGTGGCACAGCCTGCTATGGCACAGCGTGATGCAGCACTGCGTGGCTTGATTTATCACTGCATGGCTCAGCACAGCAGTGTCACTTGGCACACGTTGCAGTGCAGCACGGCACAGATCAGCGCAGCAGGGCACTGTGTGCAACAGCACAGCATGGTGCTACGTGGCACGGGGCACAGCTGGACAGGCAGCGCAGTACAGCAGCACTGCCCCTTTGAGCCCCCACCCATTGCTCCGGGCTGGGGGTGGGGATGTGGCCGGGACAGGGCTGCAGCAGAGGAGGGTGTGGGGTGGCCATCCCATCCGGCGTGGTGGTGGGGCCAGGACCTCCGGCTGTGGGGCTGTGCTGGGAGGGGATGGTGATTGCGTAGGGCTGGCCCAGCTCCTGGCCACGCAGGCAGTGCCGGGGCCCATTGGCAGCGATGGCTGAGTGCCAGAGACCTCCGTTCCATCCCATCCCGTCCCTGTCCCCTCCCCACCCAGTGCCACTTACCTGACTTGGGGTAGGTGACGATGACCACATCGGTGTCACGGAAGAGGAAGTTGGTGGCAAACTGCAGGGACTCTGAGGTGTGGAGGTGCCCAGGCAGCGCGATGCCGGCGAAGGTCTCCGTTACCTCCAGGCGCTCCATGGCCCCGCTGTGCCAGATGTGATGGGACAGCCTTTAAATAACTGCAGAAGAGGAAGCCTGAGAGGCAGGCAGAGGGCGTGGGTAGGACTCCCCCCCTCACCCGCCCCCCGACACATTCCTGGCAGGGGGCCGAGAGCGGCTGCGCGGGGCCGGCATGAGGGGAGTGCGGCTGCAGGGATGGGGCTGTGGGGTCGGCCGGGGATGGGGCCACCATGGGGAGAATATGGCTGAGCCCATGGGGGATGTGAGGAGCGCTGGGGGGCTGCGAGCCCCCAAGGGGTTGGAGAACTCGAAAGCTTCGCTGGCCTCATAGGTGATTCCCGTGCTGTGGGGTGCCAGTCCCATGCCACGCTCCATATGGTGGAGGCCTTGGTGCCCTATGGCTGTGCTCACTGTGCTGCAGAGGGGTTTTCAGCTCGACCACCCCAGGATGAGGATCTGGAACCGGTTGTGCCCTATGTGACTCCGCACCACTCCCAGCACACGGCCACTGCCGTCCCCAAGGCCACCCGTGGCCCTGTACACAGGATCCACTGCAGAGTGGATGTGTGCCTCAGTTTCCCCCCGCAGCACCAACACCTCTGGCTGCGCCACCCTAATCCTGTCTCCCAGCCCACAGAGCCGGGTGGCCAAGGCATGGAGCTGTGGGGTGCCCTGGTGCTCGGCCCCCACCCGCAGCCATGATGGGGGCTGGCTCTGGGGTGGCCGTAGCCCATTCCAGCCCTGCACGGCACGCAAGCCGGAACACATATTTCAGAACCACGACGGGGAGCAGCTGCCTGAGTGTTCCAGGGCTGGTGGTGAGCTGGGGACAGGGGTACCAGGCAGCGTGTCCTGCCAGACTCCATGGCATGAGGGGCATGGGGCTGGGGGTTTTTCTATGGGGCTGGGGGTGCCGGGTTGGGGTGGGGGGTGCTGGGACAGGAAGGCCAAGGAGGGGATGGGAGCAGCGCTTTTTCCCAGCAGAAAAAATCTGTGCTGTGTTAGAGGGGCCGGGAGCATAACCACAGCTATGCGCGTCCCCATGTCACCCCGCGCTGCGCTGCAGAGGCCGTCGCGGTGCCCGGGCACTGCCGGGGTTGGGGTGCAGGGTGCAAGGGTGGGTTTATGGCCCCAGTGCTGGTTATTGATTTACCACGAGGAAGAGCAGTCAGCAGTGTGGGAACACTCAGCGGGATCCTGCAGCAGCGGGGCAGCGATCTCATCCCACCACCGGCACACCACGCGAGGATGCTGCGCGGGATCGTGCTGCTGCTGTGCCTGCTGCTGCCCTGCTCGGGGCAGATGTTCCTGCAGGAGGCTGAGCGCATCATGGACTCCACACCGGTCATCGATGGGTGAGCACGGCCACGCGTCCGTCCAAAGCTTGTGTGGCACTGTGGGACGGGCTCTCGGTTCCCTGAGAAATCCCCAGCACAGAAAAACCCAAGGACCTGCCTGGGAAATGCCCTCACTGAGCACCCTGGGGACACTACATAGGAACGGCGCTGTCCTGGGAATGCCCGCATGGAGCACTCGAGGGACGCGTGGGAATGGCCCTACAGGGGGATTCCACGTGGTACCTGGGGCTGTGTGGTTGGGGGGAACCCCAGCAGCCAAGCCAGGAGTGGTGCTGGGAAGCGGTGGGGTCAGGCTGCCCCAGGGGAAGTCCTGCAGGATCGTGTCCTTAGGGATGTCCCCAGTCCTCCACCATGCTCCCGTTCCCAGTGGTGCCCACATGGCTATGGAGCCATCGTGCAGCCCAGAGAACCCCAGGCAGAAGGAGTGGAGCTGTGGGAGCCAAGGGATGTGGGGCAGGGGGAGACCCAGCTCTTCCCCAGTGATGCTGCTGGCCCTTAACAGCACGCGGTGGTGGTGACATTCCTGTGCAGAGATGTGGGGCTGGAGCCATGCAGGGAGCAAGGAGCAGGTGGGGATGAGTTGGGGGGGCAGGACGGGGGGGGGGGATTTCTGCAGGGGAACCACACCCCCAATCCTGGGCATCACTTCCTGGTGGCACAGATGGATGGGTGGGACAGATGGATGGAGGGAGGAAGGGGCAGGAGAAGGGAGGGGCAGATGTGGAGAGAGGGAGGGGCAAAGGGAAGGGAAGAGGGAGGAAGGGGAGGATGGATGGATGGATGGATGGATGGTGGGGGATGAATGGTGCCTAATGGATGGATGATGAAGCAGGGAGGCAGATGGGCAGCCAAGTGGTTGGTCAGTTGGACAGACAACCCCCCGCTCTCACTTTCTCCCTGGCCCAGGCACAACGACCTGCCCTGGCAGCTCCTCAAACTGTTTAATAACCAACTGTTGCTGCCGGCATCCAACCTGACGCAGCTGAACAACACCCACACCAACATCCCCAAGCTGAACACTGGACACGTGGGCGGCCAGGTGGGACAGCAAGCGGGGCACGGGCAGCAGAACAGCCCCTGCTGGGGCTCCGGGTGCTCACCTGCTGCCATCCCCCCAGTTCTGGTCGGTGTACGTGCCCTGCGACACGCAGAACAAGGACGCAGTGAAGCGCACGCTGGAGCAGATAGACGTGGTGCACCGCATGTGTGAGCTGTACCCAGAGACCTTCGCCTGTGTGGTCGATAGCGCAGGTGAGCGGCGGGGGGAATGGCTGCAGGGGCACAGGGCTGTAGGTGTCTGTCCCCAGCTGAGAACTCTCTGTGCCCCTGCAGGCATCGAACAGGCATTCCAGGACAAGAAGGTGGCCAGCCTCATCGGTGTGGAGGGCGGCCACTCCATCGACAGCAGCCTGGGTGTGCTGCGCACCTTCTACCGCCTGGGCGTGCGCTACATGACCCTGACACACAGCTGCAACACACCCTGGTAGCCCACCGTGGGAATGTCGTCGGGACGGGGGGATGGGGATGGGGATGGGGCTCGGGGTCTGATGCTGTCCCTGTGGCACAGGGCTGACAATTGGCTGGTGGACACCGAGGAGGAGCAACCCGTGCACCACGGCCTCACAGCGTTTGGGAAGGTGAGTGGGATGGAGGCGGGTGGCAGTGCCGTGGACCAGCCAGTCCTGAGGGTGCGGTGTCCTCACACTGCCTTGTCCGCACCCCTGCTCCCCTCCCTGCAGAAAGTTCTGGAGGAGATGAACCGCCTCGGCATGATCGTGGACTTGGCTCACGTCTCAGTGGAGACCATGAAGATGGCACTGGATGTCTCCAAAGCTCCCGTCATCTTCAGCCACTCCTCTGCCTACAGCGTCTGCCCACATGCCCGCAATGTGCCCGACGATGTGCTGCAGATGGTGGTGAGCACACGATGGGAGCACTGGGGGGCAGGTGGTGCAGCACAGTGGCACAGGGCTCAGGGCCACCTCTCCTGCAGGCCTCCACGGGCAGCCTGGTGATGGTCAACTTCTACAACCAGTACGTGACCTGCAGCAACGTAGCCACGCTGGCTGATGTCGCAGGTGAGGCTGCGGGCAGGGATGAGGTGGGGGCACAGTGTCACCCCATCCCCTCACCCGGCCCCTCTGTGCCCACAGACCACATGGACCATGTGAAGAAAGTGGCAGGCGTTGAATCCGTCGGCTTTGGCGGGGACTACGATGGTGTCACGGGGTAAAGTGGGTGATGGCATGTGGGAAGCGGGATGGAGTGGCCAAGGGTTGACCCTGGGCATAAGGTGTGTCCCCTGGGGATTGCTGGATTGGGGTGCTCCCATGTCAGGCTCTGAGCTGTGGGTGCCACAGGCTGCCCACGGGGCTGGAGGACGTTTCCAAGTACCCTGCGCTGGTGGCAGAGCTGCTGGCCAGGAACTGGACGGAGCAGGAGGTGAGCGCAGCGCTGGCCAAAAACCTGCTGAGGGTGTTCAAGAGAGTGGAGGAGGTGAGTGGGGCATGGGGAAGTACAGGGGGGGCACGGAAATGGATGGGGCAAAGGGATACGCGCTGGGCACGGGGGTGTGGAGGGCACTGGGGTGCGCTGGAACGTGGACAAATTGGTCATGAGGATGCATGGGGAGAATGGGCAATAGGGTGGATGGGGGACACGCAGAGCAGGGGTCTGAGCAGCATACAGAGATGCACAAAGCACCCTGTGATGCAAACTCGCCCTGGCCCCACAGGTGAAGGAATCCCTGCAGGGCACACTGCCCCTTGAGGAGCCCATCGCCCTGGAGGAGCTGGAAGGAGAGTGCCGCACCACCTATGGCTACGCCACCACCACCACCACCGATGCCAGCCCAGCCCTGCCCCTGCCAGCAGCCCTGGTGCTGCTGCTGCCCCTGCTCAACACCCTGCTGCCATAGTGCCCACGTGCTGCCCCAGCCCGCTCACAAAATAAAGCCATCCCGCTCGGTGTTCGGGCTGTCACCGCACCAGGAGTGAGACATCACTGTGACAACACGCGGCCAGGGCGGCAGCGGGGCTGCCTCCGCAGGATGCTTACATTAATCATTAGCTAATTAATTGGCTACTCAATCATCTTCTTAGCAATTTCCTCTCACATTTGGGAACAGCCTGTCTTTGGAGCGGAGGCAGCTCTGGGCACCAAGAAAACAAGCTTGTGCAGGAGAGTCATCTTCCTGTGGCATTCGTAATTTGGCTGAGGCACAAAGCCCACTCTGCCAGCAGGGAGCGGGGAGGGGACGAGCCCCAGTGCCACCAGGATGGCACCCATGGGTGGTGGATGCTGGTGGCAGGCCTGGGTCTGCGTGGTGGGGAACGCTGGAGCTTGCTTACTTCGTGGAGCTGGGGGCTTCCCCTCGGCAAGCCCGAGCTTCTCAGAAGGGCAAGGGAAAGGTGTGGGGAAGAGTGCAGTGAACTCAGCAGCCCAAAAACAAAACTGGGAAAAAGGATCTAGAAAGGAGGCAGCCGTCCTGGGCTGTGTTGGCTGTGCCACGGCCGCAGCGGTCCCTGCTTGCCCGGTTCCCCAGCACAACCACAGGAAGGGAAGCGGTCCCTGCGGGGACGTGCCTGCTCAGCGTCCTCAGCACATCAGAGGCTTTCTCCTGAGCCACCCCCAGAGGCTGTGACCCCCAGCAGGCGCTGGCTGCCCTTTCCCTGGGCAGGAAGGCTGAAGGAATGGGCCTCTTCCTCCTCAGCTCGGCCCACAGCGGGTCCTCTGTCCCCAGCTGCAGTTGGGTTTTCAACCCACAACAGAGAACAGGCACAGCCCAGAGCCCCCCTCTTCTGCCTAAACCCCCGTGCACACCACGATGGATGTTCAGAGTGTTTATTTAAAACAGCATTAGGTAATCAACAGGGTTTTGGAGAAGAAAAAAGGCAAACGAGACAAGCTTTAAAAAAATACCACCACGGATCAAGACACAGAGAAAAATCAGATGGGAAAAGGGAGTGACTCCAGGGGCAGAGTCTCGGTCACCCTGAGCCTAATCCCAGTCCCCAGCCCCACACACGGCGCCCACGCAGGGCCAGGAGCCAGCAGCAGTGCCACTGCATGGTGCAGGCACCTCCCATGCCCTCATCACCACCCCTCATCCCTACCGCAGCACACGAGGGAAGAAGGCTCTTTTGGTCACCAGCCACGTGCTGTCACGGTCATTGAACTCAGAAAAAATAATCAAAGCAGTGAGAATTGTTTTTGTGACAAGCGCTGCGGTGTCTGTGACCCTGGGGCTGGGTGCCAGCACCGGAGGATGAGGGATGGAGCCGCCTGCCCTCTCCCCACACTGCTGTTGCCCTGCTGATAGCAGTCAAGGTCCCACTCCCACTGCAGCTGTACTTGACTGAAAGCTCCCATTGCAGCATTGAAGTGAAGCTGCCACGCCACAGCAGGGCTGGCTGCATGCTTCACAGCTTGGCTCCAGCACTGCAGGGCCAGGCAGCTGCAGCACACTGCTTGCAGCCTGCAATTCTTCCTTGTGAGAGGCAAAGGAAACTTCATTTCCTTCCTGTAAGCTGCCAATCCACCCTGTATCTTGGTGGGCAGCGAAAACCTCAGCCCAAAGGAAGGCTCTGAGCAACAGTGTTCCACTGTGGGTTGTGGGAGCAGAGCAGAGCAGAGCTCAGGCACACCAGAGATGCAGCAATGTGGGGATAGCAGAGTGGGAGCGACAGCAGGGAGAGCCAGGGGCCAGGCACAGAGCAGGGCTGGATGATGCACACTCAGGGCAGTTTGGTATTTACACCAGCAAACCCATCCAGTGGCAGAAGTCTGGGTCACCAAGGCTGAAGGCAGCTGAGATCCTCTTGCAGCTGCAGGGCACACGGTGAGTCATGGCACGGAGAACTCACTGCCACACCGCACTGCTGGGAGGTGGAAGATGCAAGGATTCGCACACACAGGCTTGTGCAGGGCAGGAGGAGGGTTTTAAAGGTCACTTTGTGGTCAAGAGAAGCAAAGGGGGGTTGGCCTGTTGTGACGAGGTGAATCTGCAAGGAGAAGCCTGCAAGCAGGGCACCCACATACGGCTACGGACCGAGCAGTGAGGGCTGGGGAAGGGCACCGCTTTCTGCAAGGCACAAGCCCCCCAGGAACACCATAGCCTCCCCCCAACCCCTGCTGTAAATCTTCTCCATGGGGACAGACACTTGCTGTAGGTCCCCAGCAAAGTGCTGCCCACAGTACAGAAGCCCAAAACTAGGTAACAACAGAAGCAGGCAACACAGGGAAGAGGCAGGCAGCCAGCACCCCAGGAGACACTGCGACCCACCTCCAGAAAGATTCATTTAGTGTTAAATCACATTGCATCACGGGACGCTGCGAGAAGCCGGCAGCGACCCTCAAATGAAAAACACCCTAAAATAAGAAACAGCAAAGTACTCGTCAAGCCCAGAGAAGGGCTGTCCTTGGCTCCACACCCCCTGTCGGGATCTCTGCCTGCTCTGGTCACTACTGCACCCCAAAAGAAGAGTCTGCAGGGAGGCGGACAGGGCTGGGGACACGCTGCTGCAGAAGGAGCTGGCCCTGCCCAGCCAGCAGGTCAGAGCAAGGATGTGATAGAGGCAGAGAGGAAGGAGTCCTGAGTCCCTCCGTCCCCATACACCATACAACCAGCATGGCAGCAGTCCGCAGGGGTAACAGGAGATCTAATTCCGCAAGGCAGCCAACCTGAAAGGGAAAAGACGAGAGGAAACTGGCATGAGAGCAGCTGGGAACAGCCTGAAGGACCAGCCAGCCAGGCCGTGCGGGACACAGCTCTGCACAGAAGCCTCCAGAGGCACTCCGGCTGCAGCCTCACGGGGAGCAGCAGGGAGGGAGCAGGGAGAGGAAGCTCATCGGTTCCTCCTGGGGCAGTTCCAGCAAAACAGCCTGTTCCTGGAGCTGATTGAAGGTCAGCACCAAGTGTTCCAGAGCAGTAGCAGCTGCGTGAGGATGAACGCAGAGCAGGGCGGACGGTTCTGCTCCGGATCGAGAGAAGCCAGGTGCCAGCAGCCACCCCCACCACTAAGTAACCGAATGGTACTTTGCCTGCCTGCACCCTCTCCAGGCCTCACAAAGCGCCACAGGGGCTGCCTGGCAGACGCTGCAATCTCTAGCTTGCCTGAGCTTGTACCACCAAGGGCTCAGCATCCACTCAGCCTGCATTAAATCACTGCTCGCATCAGTGAGAGACCCCTGGGAAGAACTCAAAGCCGCCTCAACACGAGGTGAAGGACCTGGGAGAGAACAAACCTCCGTGACAGCTGGTCTTCCTGGGAGCGCATCGAGCTCTCCCCTACTGCTGAAGCACCCTCAGGGAGCTGGTTGAGCTGGTCCATGATCTCCAAACCGTTCTCCTCTGCAATCTGCACAATGAGGCTGTCCACCTGCTCCTGTGGTGTGGTCAGCGTGGTAGCGGAGCTCATGGAGTCCTCCATGACCTGCAACAGAGACAGCCTGTCAGCCCACCTCATGGGTAAAGCATAATGGGGGAGGTGCAGTCTTCCACAGCTCCATCTGAGCAACCTCTAGCTGGGACAGCACCTTTGCTTTCCTTCCCTTGCCTGCTGGTTTGCCCCTTTATACAGCAAACACTTTCTTTGCTAGGCAGCAGTGCTGCGTCCTGCCCAATGTCTCTCATGCACCTGAAACACAGAGCAGTCTCATCCACCCAGACCCCTCGAGGCCATCTCCTCTTACCGATGTATGAACATCCAAATTCTGAACCTGCTGCTCGAACTTATCCATCACTGCAGACACCTTCTGCAGGTCCATGGAGCTCAGAGCTTTGTCCAAAGCCTTGGTCACCTGAGCCATGTTTTTCGTCACCTGCAAGAAGATATTGCTTCGTGGATGCTGTCCAAAAACAAAGGCATCCCTGCTGAAAGTAAAACCCTGGCACACAGCCCGAGGCAGAGCACAGCACGAGGAAGCACACCACTGCAGCTCCAAGCAGGACGGGTCCCAGCCCACTTCTCTGTAAACACACATGCAATGGCTAGCACAGACAAGAAAGCAGGCATGAGCCTCCTTGATTAGAGCCATAATAAAGCAGCCTGGAGAGCTCTCTGTGGGCATGCCAGAAGCTTCACTACACCGAGAGTGACTGGGCTCATTACAAAGCTTTACAGGACCCTCATCTGAGAACAAGGAAGTCCAAGGTTCAAGGCAGATGAGAAGGGAGGAGCCAACACTCTACACAGGGCACAGACCGCTCTCAGAACCCCGTGCTGAAGAACAAAGGCTCTTACCCCCTTCATTGTCACTGCTGTCTGCACCTTGGAGGCCACCGCATCCACTCGGGAAGCCATGCGGAGCCAGTTCAGCCCCTCGTTCTTCTTGCGGATGGCATTCTCTGCGTAGACACGAGCACACTCCACATTCTTCTGCTGAAGGGCCTGGAAGAGCAAAGGGCAACCGCCTGCACCAAGAAACCACTCCATGTTTATAAACAAGCACTCCCCTTTTCTGCCTGACAGACTTTCAGCAGGAAACAGCTCATCTGCGACCTCTGTAAACACTGAGGACGCCCTTGGAAGGGAATTAAATCCCTCAGTGTCACAGTAACACATCACATCTGCTCAGCAGATTCAAGATCTCAGGGTGAGACTTCAAAACATATTGAGAGCAAGAGAAGAAACTGCCTCTTTTTCTCCACCCGTCAGCAGCACGCAGCTGGTGGGGCACAAGAGGAGGCAGGGTCTCCAGCTGCTCAGCGCAGCATCCAGATGCCAGCATCACCACTTGGTGACAAACTCCCACCCACCTTCTTGACTTTGGCTTGTTCCGCCTTGGAGTCCTTCTCAGCTTTTTTGGCAAGTTTCTCCAGCTGCTTTGCTGTGAACTGGAGAGAGAGCTGCGAGTTAGTGCTAGGACACTGCAGGGGAGCCAGCAGCAGCAGCAGCACCTCTGTAGCACTGGCCACCCACAGGGCACACACAAGGTGCTAACATGAGCTCTGTGAGCTGCTACAGCTTCCTAGCTTAGGGATCCATCAGGTTCTGACGAGGTGTCAGCTCCCTCCAGGGCTGCAATGCTGGCTGTACGAAGGGAAGCTCCCAGAGTACACAGCATGCTGAGGGCCAGTTTTCTTGCTGTGGAGATGGGGACAAGTTTGGCAGTGGTTGCCTGAGGCACAAGCTCAGCTGATGAGCTCCCTCTTCCCGCAGCTGCTGGCAGCAACAAGCCAAGCAGAGCAGGAGCAGCAGCACACTGTGGATCTCTGCAAGCCAGGGTGTTCCATTCCAGTCACTGGCAGCTCAGTTGGTTTTTTTTGTTGTTTGTTTGTTTAAATGTGTGCATTACGATTACTCTTACACCCTGCACTCCCTTCGTCTGTCAGCTAGGGAAAACCAGAGCAGCGCCACCCAGACGCCCTGTTCATGCCAACACCGATGGGACAGGCCCTCCCTCCCGGGGGTGGCTTTGCCACTGACACCGGAGCGCGAGCATCGTATCGGGGCGCAGGGCCGAGAGCGGCTGCGCCGGGCGGATTCGCAGACTCGGCCCTCGCGCGGACAGCGGGGCACAGGACGGGAGGGGCCAGGAGGGGCTCGTGGCCCAGATGGCGTTACCGGCCCCCGGTGACGAGGGCGGCGCGGAGCGGCGCTACGTTACGGAGCTGCCGGAGGGATCGCCAGGAGCTCACCTTCAGCTGGAAGAGCGTGTCTGCAAGAGAAAGAGAGCATCGCCTCAGCGCCGGGCCTCAGCACCGCGACACACCGGAACCCAGGCCGAGACAGGCCGAACCCAGCGCACCACGCCTCGCTCCACGCCGGGAGGCCCCACAGCCCGCACGCAATACGGCCGGACCGCCCCAGGCCCGGTACGGCGGAGCCCCCGCCTCAGCTCTCCTTACCGTCCATCCTGCCCCGCCGCCGCTTCCGGGTATCGTCGCCGCTTCCGGGTGCGGCCACTGCTGCTTCCGGGGTGCGCGCGCCACCCTGTGACGATGGCGCCCCCTGGCGGCGGGGCGGGCACGTGGGCGGGGATGGAGATGGAACGGCGGCCCAGCGCCTCGCGGACGGGGTCGGGGCGTGGTGCGGCCTGCGGGGTGGGGTGTCAGAACGGTGACGTGCGTGTTGCCGGGACACCACAAAGGGACCGAGACCACGCCAGCAGCCATGGGGCAGCTGCTCTGCAAGGACATAGGCACAAAGGGTAATGGGGTTCCATACGGCGTGCTGTGATGGGGACAGGGATAGGAACGGGGGTAGGAATGGGGGCAGATGAGGATGGGGTGAGGATAGGAATGGGGATAAGGAACGGGGACAGGGATGCCTCTCTGGGCACACATGGAGCTGCCACTCACCTCAGTCGCCCGCCCTCATTTTGAAGTCATTTCTTTCAAGACAGAATTTTATTTCCAGCCTGGTCTTGCAGGCACAGGGAGAGATCAAGGAATGACACATCACAGGCCGCTGCTATTAATGTGCTGTAAAATCTCTCAGATCTGTGATGTTTCAATCTTCTGCCTCCTCGCTGCCCCACAAAAGAGAGCACAAAGTGAAGTGCTTCCCATTGTGTTCTCAGCTGGCCAGGTTTTAACAAGCAGCTTTGTAAGTAGCAAAGGGGTCTGGATATGGGGGAACAGGTGGGCAGTGGCTCTCACTGGGGCTTTGAAAAGCTCTGAAGTTTTAGATGTGTCTCCTTTCTTGTCAGGGCGGTCATGGAGCTCTTTGTTGTGTTGGAGCTGCGTGCTGCAGCAGTGTCTCAAGCCTGCTCAGCTCCTCTACAGCAATTTATTGTGATCTCTCACGTCTGTTTTGTTTTTTTTTCCCTCTGTTCATTAGATTCGGCACAAGACTGCACCAATGAGAAACAAACCATTCCTACACCCCGCATTTCTGTGACACCGCCCCTGGATGAATGCACTGAAGCAATGTCAATGGAAGGGCCTCCCACCAAGGCAGCAACCAGCGGGGGAGCTGGGCAGAGCCAGGAGCCGGACAGCGGGGTGAACAAGGAGAAGCCATGACCCACAGGCAGAGGCTGCTCATCGCCCACCATGACTCCTGCATGCTCACGGACAGGGAGACCACCAGAGCCCACCCTTGAGCCTGGCCCTCCCCAGCTGGGGAGGAGCCGGGCAATAAAAGCGAGTGCTTGGAACTAGGAGGTGGTTGATGACAGAACGGCGATTCGGGGAGCGGGGGCCGCCCGGCCGAGCGCCGGCCTGCAGGCCGCGCGTTGCCTAGCAACCGTTGCTCGGGCCCAGCGTGAGCGGCAGGGCCGAACGGCGCATGCGTGAGACTGGGGCTTGCCAGAGCGCATGCGTACAGTGGGCGGGAAATTGGTGTGCGCATGCGTGTCACAACTATGGCGGACGGAGACCGCGCTGAGGGAGCTCCGGCCGAGAGCGAGGTGGAACCGCTGCGGTTCCAGCGGCTGTGGGGAGAGGGCTACTTCGAGGTGCCGGCGTCCGAGCGGGTGAGGGGCCTGCGCCCGAAGGGGTGCTTCTGAGGAGCGTCGGTTGTGGGGCGGCCCTGCTGGTGGGTGGGCCCTGTGCTGAGGGAACGTGAGGAGCGCCCACCGCTGCGCCCCGCGTTCTGAACGCGGGTGAGGGAGATGAGGGGGTTTTATAGCAATCAGAACAAAGGTGTGGAATGACTGGAGTCAGCTCCACCCCTAGAATAATAGGTACTGTAAAGATGTCTTAAGAGAGGGAAAAGTAGGGAGGATACCATTGCAGGCAGGTCAGATACAGACCATCTCTGATTCTCTGGGCAGCCTGGTCTAGTATTAAAAGGGGAGGTTGGTGGTCCTGCATGTGGCAGGGGAGTTGGAGATTCATGATCCTTGAGGTCCTTTCCAACCCTGGCCATTCTGTGATTCCTGGCATCAGTTGATGGACTGAGCCTCTCTCCTATCCCTACCCCCATAAGGACGCCTTCTGGGTAAGGCTCACACACAGAGGCTTCCCTGGGAAACTTTGTAGTCTCTGCAGAGCTTTAAAAATTAGCAGCTTTTGGCCTGGCTCTATTACTCCTAGTTCCTTGTATGTGCTTTGCACTGTTCTTGGTCGACCTCACATGCTTTGCCTGCAGTTGTTTGTGAATCTGTAATTGTGATAGTTCACAATTGATAGTTGAACACAACCAGACTTGCAGTGCCAGATTGGGCGTTGCTCAGAGTGATGCCCTTTATTTTGATTGCTGTCTGCTGTCAAGGTTGTAGCACTGTGGGAATGTTGGTGAGAAGCTGCTGAGGGCTGCCCCTGAGAGAGAGCCTTTGGCTGTGATGTGGCTCTTTGGTTCCAGCTGGGGAAATGCCGGAGCGTGAAGGAGTTTGAGAAGCTGAATCGGATCGGAGAAGGCACCTATGGCATAGTGTGTAAGTGTGGTGTTGGCTGGAGCCTGGGTGGAAGGGTGGGCCTGTAGCACATCTGCCCACACCTGGGGACTGCGGGACCGAGGCTGAGAGGAGTGACACTCAGCAGTGCCTGTGTCCCTTTGGCTAAAGCTTATGCTGAGCAACTGCCCTATGCTGCTCTTCCAGACCGTGCCCGGGACACTGTGACAGATGAGACTGTGGCACTGAAGAAGGTGCGGATGGACAATGAGAAGGAAGGTACATGAGGAACGGGGATGGCTCCTCGTGGCAGGTGTCAGTGTTCCTGGCCTCCGCCTGAGGCAGTTGTGCAGTGTGGTTCTCACTGCCCTCAGGAATGCCCATCAGCAGCCTGCGGGAAATCACCCTGCTCCTGGAGCTCCAGCATCCCAACATCGTGGAGCTGAAGGAGGTGGTTGTGGGGAACCATCTGGAGAGGTGAGAGCCTCCCTGCATGCCCTCCAGCCTTCAGAGGAGATGCTGCCTCGGTGCTCTCAGGTGCCTTTCGCAGTGCTGAGCAGTGAAACGCCTGTGTCTCCTCTCCAGTATTTTCCTGGTGATGGGCTACTGTGAGCAGGACCTCGCCAGCCTTCTCGAGAACATGCAGACACCTTTTTCAGAGGCTCAGGTAAAGATTGGGTCAGGCTTTTAGGAATGTCATCCTCGAGAAAGGGCCACAACACTATGGCCACCAGTGTGGATTCCTTGCAGTTTGCAATCCACCTTATGCTGGTAGCTTCAGCAGGGCTGGCTGGTGCTGTTCACGTGCTGGGGGACACTCCTGTCCTCTTTCTTCAGGTGAAATGCATCATCTTGCAAGTCCTCAAGGGTCTGCAGTACCTTCATGAGAGGTACATCATCCACAGGTGAGAGCAACGGGAGAGGCTGGGTGTGTGGTGGGGACGAGGAATTGCTGGGGGGCAGCCTGATGAGCCCCGTAACTGCGTGTCGGTTGCTCAGCTCACACAACTCTGGGAGCGAGGAGCACTGTGTGGAGAAGCTGTGGGCAGGGGCTGGCAGCAAACCCTCAGCTTTGCTGTGCAGTGTGGGAGCCGGGGTAGGGAAGGCAAGGGACGGTGAGATTCACCTCTCTTAGTGATCAGTCAGCAGTGGGGCTCTTTGTCCTCCCGAGTCCCTGGGGAAGTGCATGCACAGGAGAAGCTGTGCCTGGCAGACAGTGCTGACCGCCGCTCGGTGTTCCCCATAGGGATCTGAAGGTGTCCAACCTGCTCATGACTGACAAAGGCTGTGTGAAGATAGGTGAGCCCCTGGCTGCTGCCTTGTCTCTGGCAATTCAGCTGCTGCTGCAGGTGTGCCTGCAGCTCTCCCTCTGCTCCACAAGCAGGCAAAGCATGGAGCTTGCCTCTTTCCTTACCTCGGGTCCGTTTCTTTCTTGCAGCGGATTTTGGTCTGGCACGTACATATGGGATGCCACCACAACCCATGACCCCCAAAGTCGTCACGCTGTGGTGAGTGCAGCGCAGGGTGCTGAGCTGTGCTGGCTCAGGGTGATGTGGAGCACATCTTTGCAGCGCTGCCACTCGGGGCAGGGAGCTTCCTGTGCTGCAACTAAAGATGGTGCCTTCCCTGCACAGGTACCGAGCACCCGAGCTGCTGCTAGGAGCGACAACACAGACCACCAGCATTGACATGTGGTAAGGGCAGGGGACAGGAGAGGCTGAGGCTGGCCGGGTGGTGCCTGGGGGGTTTGTAGAAGCCAGGACATCGACAGAGGGATTTCTGCTGCCCCCACCAACTCCTGTGTGTCCTCTGCACTGCAGGGCTGTGGGCTGCATCCTTGCTGAGCTGTTGGCTCACAAGCCACTGTTGCCAGGCACCTCTGAGATCCACCAAATAGACCTCATCGTGCAGCTCCTGGGGACACCCAATGAAAACATCTGGCCGGTGAGAGTTATCCCACAGCCCCGCCAGCCCTTGTGGCTCTTCTGGCCTTCCTGCCCTTCCCTGATGCCCTCCTGCCCACAGCCTGATGCCCCCCCCTACCTCTTCCCTCAGGGCTTCTCCAAGTTGCCCCTGGTGAGTCAGTACACGCTGCGGAAACAGCCTTACAACAACCTCAAGCACAAGTTCCCCTGGCTCTCAGAGGCCGGGCTGCGTCTGCTCAACTTCCTCTTCATGTACGATCCCAAGAAGCGGTAAGAGCCACTGTGTGGGCAGGGCTCGGGGCAGGCCCCTGCCTGCTGATGGGGCTGCCCTCGTGGCGGGGTCAGCTCAGTGCTGTGGGCAGGTGCTGGAGGGGAACTGGGACCATGGGGGAGCGTGGGTGGGATGGGGAGTGGGAGAGCTGTGAGGGTGAGGGAAGGTGGCAGCACGTTTGAGCTGGGAGCAAAGCTTGCCACATCTTGTCCCCACAGGGCAACGGCAAAAGACAGCCTGGATAGTTCATACTTCAAGGAAAAGCCCCTGCGTAAGTACATTCCCCACCAGCCAGGGTCGCAGTGCTTGGCCTCTGCTGACCTGTCTCTGTGCCTCCCCAGCCTGTGAGCCAGAGCTCATGCCCACCTTCCCCCACCATCGCAACAAGCGGGCAGCCAGCGCCAGCACAGGGACTGAGAGCCAGGCAAAGCGTGCCAAGCCCTGAGCCCCGTCCAGGAGGAGGAGGTGCAGGGAACTCAAGCAGGGATCGCCGTTGCCAGGGCTGGGCACTCGCTCCTGCCCCGCTGCTGCCCAGGCACTCAGCTCTCCTCGGCGATGCAGTGCTGGGTGCTGTCACCTCATGGGATGGCTCCTGGCCACGTTGCCCCAGTCCCTCAGCAGTTGCATTTAGGGGTACTGCCTTGGTTACCAATGCCCATGCTCAGCCCCGTGCAGAGCTTCTCATGCTGGGAACATCCACAGCCTTCCAGCCCAGCAGAGCCCAAGCATTGTATAGTGCTGGCTTCCTTCTGCCCTGGAGTGAGGGGGCAACAGCCTGGAGCTGCGAGCACAGCACGGGGTGGGTTTCAGCCTCCTCCCCTGGGGGTGGGATGGAGGCAGGGACTGAAAGGGGGGGAGATGGGGGTTTGGTACAGAGATGCTGGACGTCTGGCAGGACCAGCTCTGGCCTGTACTGGCTGCGTGGTGCAACCCTGACTCGCTGTCAATAAAAACAGTTGCAAAGGGCAGTGGTGGTGAAAAATTCCCTCGGCCATAGAATCACAGAACAGCTTGGAAGGGACCTCAAGTTCCAACCCCCCGCCACAGGAAGGGCCACCAACCTCTACAGCTGTTACCAGACCAGGCTGCCCAGGACCCCATCCAATGTGGTGATGAACAGTGCCAGGGATGGGGCATCCACAGCCTCTCTGGGCAGCTGTTCCAACACCTCACCACTATGTAAAGATCTTCCCTGACATCCAACCTAAACCTTCCTTCCTTGACCTTGAAACCATTCCCCCTTGTCCTGTCATTGTCTACCTGGATAAAAAGTCAATTCCCTTCCTTTTTATAATCCCCTTTTAAATATTGGAAGGCTGCAATGAGGTCTCCTCACCTCCTGCCCTTCACCAGGCTGAAGCCCAGCTCCCTCAGCCTGTCTTTGTAGGGGAGGTGGCCCAGGCCTCTGTTCATCTTAGTGGCCTTCCTCTGGACCCTTTTCAACAGCTCCACATCTTTCCTGTACTGGGGGCTCCAGACCTGGACACGGTGCTGCAGATGGGGCCTCACCATGGCAGTGTAGAGAGGGACAATCCCCTCCCTGTCCCTGCTGCCTCTCCTCTTCTGATGGACCCTCAGCCTTCTAAGCTGCATGAGCACCCAGCTGGCTCACGTTCAGTTTTTCATCCACCAGGTCCCCCAGGGCCTCCTTCCCTCCCTGCCAGGACAAAACCACCGAGTCACGAGGCAGCCACACTTTACTGGGATGCAGCGAGCCACTTACAGCAGGAACCAGAACAGGGCTCAGTCCTCCCAGCTCTCACCTCCCTGGCACTGCCCTGCAGGGCTCGGTAGGAGCACGGGGCTGAGTTCAGTGTTTCTCAGGCAGAGGGACAAGCAGCAGCAGCAGTGTCCCCTCAAGCTGAAGTGCCATGCTAGGGCCGGGTGCTGGTGCCGTCAGCCAGCAGCATGTCCACCTCTGTGCGCTGCAGCCAGAGGCGCTGCTGCCGCTCGCAGCACAGCTCCTGCCCACGGTGCCGGCTGCGGCAAGCCAGCCCGGCCGCACAGCTACCGGCATGCAGCTGCTGGCAGGTGGTGCAGCAGTAGGCAGGCAGCGTGCCCTGCCGCAGGCACGAGTGCAGCTGGTAGGAGGGAAGCTCGGGGAGTTGCTGCGGGGCAGCAGGGGGCTGAGCCCTGGTGTGGCTGCTTGGTGGGGGCTCCCCAGGGGGCAGCCGTGCAGGGCAGAGCAACGGGGGGCTGCTGCCCACCTCCCTCCGGTCCTGCTGCAGGAAGAAACGAGAGGAGGAAGGGTCTGGCTTGGGGAGGCTTGGAGAGGAGAGCAGCTCCTGCCTGAGCTCACTGCGTTCATAGGCGTCCCAATTCCTCCCGAGCACGTCCTGTGCGCCCTGCAGCTTGGAGCTCAGCAGGGGGAGATTCGTGCCTCCCTCTCCACCATCCTCAGGACTGTCTGGCCTCTCGAAATACAGATCCTCAGGGCTGTCCGGCACGTCCCCGTAGAGCTCCCTGCCATCCTCGCAGCCAGGAAGATGCATCTTTTCCCGCAGCATCTCCACGCAGGCCTCTACATCCCCGGCGACGCGGCGCGCATCCAGCAGCTCCTCGGCACGCGGCAGGCGTGGCTGCAGCCGCAGCAGCACCTCGGCCAGGATCTCACACTCCAGCCGGCAGGCAAAGAAACCGCACGCGGCAGCGGTCAGCTCGGTGGCCGGAGGCGGCCGGGACACAGCGAGGCGGCGCTCATCCAACCGCACGTAGCCCAGCCGCCCCAAGCTCCGCAGCAGCTCGGCGTCGGGCAGCGCAGCCCGCAGCACGTGTACGTAGGCTCCTGAGAAGGTCTGGAAGAAGAAGGAAAGCGGCTGAGCTCACTCGAGGCACCTGCGAAGCACCGGCACGCAGCCCCGGCCCGGCACCCACCTGTATGGTGCGGAACTCCTTGCGCCAGGGGAAGAGGTAGAGGTTGAGGGCCGCCCGCTCCAGCAGCTCGAAGGCGGCGGCCAGACCCCGCAGCGACGAGCCCGGCTCGCGGCGGCCCCGCAGCCCCTGGGCCAGGAGAGCGCCGGCGTCGTCCTGCAGGGCCGGCAGCAGCCCCGCCTCGTTCCGCAGCCGCTGCCGCAGCCGTTCCCCGAACGAGGGGTCGGGACCGGGACGGGCGCGGCCCCGCTCCAGCCCCCGCCGGTACTCCTGCCGCAGCGCCGGGCCCGCGCACATCCTGCGGTTGCGGCGGGTGAGCGCCCCGGTTCCGGCCCCGCTCCTCCCGCGCCGCCCCCAGGCCTCGTTTCCCGCCCGCTCCCCGCCTGCCGCCGAGCCCCGCGCCGCACACGCGCGTTCTTCCGCTTCCCGCGCCCCGCCCACCACGTGATTCCGCCCGCTCGGAGTCGCTGATCGTTCGGCGCCCCCTGGCGGCCGGGAGGAGCGCAGCACTTGCCGGCAGCTCAGGGCAGGCTCTGCAGGAAGGCCAGCGCGCTCTGCAGCGACGTCAGGCAGTATCCCTCCTCGCCCAGCAGGCACCTGCGGCACGCCGACACACGCGGTGGGCGCGGGGCAGCAGGGGGCCGGCACGCCCCGCTCCCGGCACCTACCCCTCGTGGATGAACTCCTCCAGCGCGGCGCACTCCGACTGCAGCTGGGGCAGCGCGCTGCGCAGCACCGCGTAGGACAGGAGAGGCAGCAGCTCATCCGCCCCGCTGCCACGTGCATCGTCAGGGGTCCCGTCACCGTGGCAACGGGAACATCGGGCACGTCACCGTGGCGACGGGGCCAATGGCCCCCATCGCCGTGGCTAAAGGACCGTGGGCCCGCTGCCGTGGCGATGGGGCAATCGGGCTCATCACCTCCGTGGTAATGGAACGCTCAGACCTCACCACCACGGCACCGGGACCATCGCCCCATCAGCCCGGCAGTGAAACCATCAGCCCTGACACCGCGGCAAAAGGGCAATCAAAGGGCAATCAAACTGCTATGGCACTGGGCACCATTGGCTCCCCTGGCACGGCAACAGAACCATCAGTTCCCCAAAACGGGAACAGCAAACCCTGTGGGGCACCGTTAACGACCACAACAAGGACTGTCAGAGTGCTGCAGCAGGAGCCATCAGCCCCAGCACAACCAGCATCACTGTCCACCCACAACAGGGACCATCAGGCTGACAGACACCCCTCTAAGAACCTGTCCAGTGCGAACCAGCAGCACCAGAGCACAGGGACCCACCAGCCCACCTCCCCACCCCCCTGGCAGCAGGGCTGCCCTCCTCACCCCATACTCACATGGTGCCAGCAGTGGGAGCACGGCTGTCGCGGGTGCTGCAGTACTCCTCGGCACACTCACAGATGCTGCGCAGGGCTCGCACTGCAGCACAGAGCAGAGCACTCAGGGCCATCCCATGGCACCACAGCACACAGCCCATGCCCGCCCCGGCCCCGCACCGATGCAGTACAGCTTCCTGCGGGGACAAGTCTCCAGGGGGATGAGGCACAACTCGTCGATGGCAGCACCATAGGCCAGGCGGCCGGGCGCAGTGGGGAAGAGCCGAGGGGACAGCCCCAGGTCGGCGGGGCTGGCGTGGCGGTGCCGTTCCATGCTGCGAGCCAGGGCTTCCTCTTGGGGCCGGTGCACGTTCCTATGGGCAAAAGGGTGATGGGGGCTGGCCGTAACAGCAGCTCGCAGCTCAGCAATGGGGCCACGGTACCTGTAGAGGGCCAGCAGCGGGGCCCACAGTGGAGGGAAGAAAGCATCCTCGATACAGGCCAAGCACTGGTCCTTGCCAGCAGCAGTGCTCAATCCTTCAAAGGCCAGCAGGGTCAGGGACAGCAGCCTGTCTGGGAAGGGAGGAGTTACGCAGCTCACCCGGCTGGGCACGGAGAGACCCGGGCCTGTCACATCACCCCTCCTCCCTCCCAGAGCCATGGCCGCCCCTCACCAATGGCATTGTGGATGTCCCGCACGATGCCCTTCAGCTGCTCCTGCAGCGATGCCGCAGGCCTGGGCTTGGCCATGGGCTCTGCTGGGGGCCAATCCTCAGGCGATGCCAGGAATCGCTCCAGGTCCTCAAAGGAGCTCTCCCGGGGAGACCGGGGGTCCCCTTCTGCCCTGGAGGCGTCGGGGCTGCCATCAGCCAGGGTTGCTCCGGAGATGCTGTGCCGCAGCGTGGCTGGGCCGTGCTCGGGCACTGAGAACATGCAGTGCAGGCTGCGGGAGGCTCGGAGCTGCCGGCCTCCTGGCTCTGCAGGCAGCAGCCCTCCTGCATCCAGTGAGAGGAAAGCAAGGCCGGTGGAGGCTGCAGGAGTGGCCTCAGGGTTGCTCTGGCTGACGGCTGGGTACAGCCGAGTGTACACCGCACACTGCAGCTTGCGCAGGAGCTGAGCTATGGGGTGCTCTGGGAAGCTGGAAGCAGAGGGACAGGGGTGAGCAGGGGACAATGGCAAGTGGTTGCAACCCTGCCAGCCCTGCAGTACCTGAGGAGGCAGGAGAAAAGCCCTGTCACCAGTGACAGGTCTGACGGGCTCCTCTTCAGCCTGGCTTTCCACTGCCGTGGCCAGTCCTGGGGGAGTGCTTGCAGCAGGTTAGTGGGGATGTGGGAACAGCCCCTCCTCTCCCTGACTCCCAGCACAGCCCTCTACATTCATGGCACCCACAGCAGCAGCCTCCAGCCCATACTCACGTGGTCCTGTTCATACTCGAGGATGGCAGCATAGAGCTCTCTCTGCTCCTGCTCCTCAGGGGTTAGGGCCACACTGCTGGAGAACCTCCTGCAAGTGCCACAGAGCCAGGTGAGGGGTGTGCAGGGAGCTCCACAGCCTCACAGTCCCCACTGGGACACCCTGATCCCCTCACCTGTTGGCCGCCTCCTGCAGCCGCAGCCGCCGCTCCTCCATTTTCCTCTGCAGCTGGGCCAGGGCACAGTTAAGGCACTGGAAGAGCTGCAGCAGTGAGCCAGCATCTCACTCAGCACAGCCCTGGGGTGACTGACGAAGTAACAGCTACAAGCACTGGCAGGGTACATGGGGAAGCACAGCTCCCAGGGACCCCCAGAGCAAGGACACATGGGTAACTTGGACAGAGCTGGACAAGCAGCATCCAGTCTGTCCAGGTGGCTTCGATCTGTACCCCCACATCAGCCAGGACAGGGCAGGACTCAAAACCAAGAGCATGTGCTGGATTGGTGCATCCTGGGGCAAGGAACAGGGGCCTGCAGCAGGAAGCCAGGCACAGCTGCAGGACCCCCGATTTGGGCTCTCTTAGTGGAAAGGATACGGTCTCCTCTCGTGCCCTGGCGATCACCAGATTCTCCATCATCTGCCGTTGTAGAGACAGCGTCTGCCAAGCAATGAACGTGGGTGACACCTGCTCAAAGTCCCAGCATAGGACCCATCGTACCCAGCTCCCCACTCACCAGCGAGGTTTTCTGCAGGGCCTGGCTGGGGTTGAGCCGTGCCACCCGTGCCTCATAGGCAGCTTTCAGCTTCTGGTTCTGCAGCGATGCCTCCTCTAGTGGTGTCAGCTCC